ATGGACTGCATATTTTGAAGATAATTGGACCAGAACTAGAGACAAAGCCTGGAATATACAATATTCTATTGATATAAAACTACAGTTACAAATCATTTTAGATAACACTGTTATGTGGATGGGAGATAAAATAAAATGTCTGCAGTTACAATAGGGTCTCTGGTGTTGTTTTAATATTACTTGGTATTGTACCATCCTCTCATATATAACTGGTCTACCCATAATTAAAAACATACAAGAAAGCACATTTGGGATGCTATACTTAATATAAATACTGATTAAGAGGCTGTACAAAAGGAAGATATCATTTATGTCTCAACAAACCCAAAAGTCTGATACAGAAATTCAAGACTGAGATAAATTTGCTGATACTCTTAATCATCTTAAGCCATAAAACTATCTTGAAGCCCACTTCAGATTTCACACTGGCTTGATTATATTAAAGTGTTTCTGTCCCATATTTTTACTGATAGTCTGCTACAGGAGAAACTAAAGCAGAACATGCCTAGATGCCATTCAACCTCGAATCATACTGTTTTAGCTGCTACAATGACAAAAACAAAAAAGGGACCAGGCTACTTGATAGGCAACAATGTGACTCCCCCCCTCCAAGTCCCAAGGTCAGTGAGACCTTGTTTCAGGAATAGTGGATATACGGAAGGCTGTATGCCACCTGGCTATGGAATGAATACTAATAACCCAGCACTCCTTAGGCAAAATAGCATCTGCTGCCAAAATACAGGCATTTGGGTTTACAGAAAATGTGTGAAACAGTGTGCTACCCTCCTGCTTCACTTCTTGCTAGTCAATAAAAGTGACCAACTGCAGGGGTAGCCCAGTCAGTCCACGGGAGGCTAATTCTTCCCAGTCTGACTTGTACCCTGAAATCTGTCTTTACTCCCCCTGGTACTCCCCACAGGTAACCAAGGGTCTGATCAGCCTTGTAAAGGGTTAAATCATTGAACGTATACATGATTTGTGATTTTGATCCTTTTTGGAATAAAAGGAGTATAATATGTATAAGCAAAGAGAACACCGGGGACAAACCGCTTGGGCCCCACTTCTGTCCTTCTCTTGGACAGAAGCTTTCTTTCTCCAAGTAAATATATTCTGCTCTTAACCTCAAACAAACAGAACAAAACAAAAGAACAAATGTCAAACATATACAAAACCTTAATGGTTACAGTAAAGGAATTATTGGTTTTTCCCTTTGTTTTTGCTTTCCTATTTTGCTGAGATTTCTGCATTCAACATGTGTGTCTGTCGCACATGCAATGACTTCCTCCTGAACAATCTGTTCAGCTGGCAGAAATCAACTGTCATCACTTAGGTTGGTTGATACAGGAGGACCCTCTGAAAAACTTTTGGTTTTAACTGTTTTGCTTAAGCAGTTAAAAGAGTATGTTGGACTTACACCTAATTATCAGCTATAGTGCATTTTATATGTAAATGATAATACAGTTTTATAAAGTTTTGTTCTATATAGTTACCTTTTACAGAATGAAAGAATTATGTGTTAAATTCCCCAAAAAGTGTTGCTTTGTAAGTAAAACTAAAACCATTGTTTTTATTTTTATTTTTTACCATTGTTATTTTTAAGGCATGGTCTTAATCATGACTGACTAGTAGTTTAGAACTCACAGTGTGTCTGCATTTATGTTCTCATCACAAGTTCAGGGATTTATTCTTAACTATCAAGAAACACAGTGTCCCCACTGCATTGAGGAACTAACCACGGTCAACAGTAAGACTTGTTCCATGCCCTTATTTGTCCATAGACCAGATTCCCTCAAATTTAACTACTTCTTCCAAAAATCTGACTCTTCTAAGGCTTTTCATGCAGAGTACCAAGTTACTTTTTTTTTTTTTATTGAGAACCAAATAGCAATAAGACAGTTGCAAAACTGAATAGGACAGTTTCAATAATTAATACATTGTACATTGTTATCTTCTTAGTGGTTATCCATAGTGTAAGATGCAGACAGGATATCCTGTCCAAACACTATTAGTACAAATCTTTCTTCTCATTGAATTAAGTGAAAGTAGCTGTGTATCTATCCTATCCTGCATATACAGATACAAAA